ATTAGATGTGTTGAGCGGCCACTGTGAATGCAGGAGATAGAAACTAAGATAAAGAAGACGATTTTCGGAGAAGTAAAGGTTGCTTCACTTCACATCTAAAAGAAATATTCAAACGATATGAAATCTTGCGATGGCGAAAAAAAAAAACTCTCAAGTGAAGGATAATCTACCTGAAGTGGAAGAAGACTTTGAAACTTAAAGGAAAGTAATATGATATAGCCAGAAGTCGTGTGTAGGATTTTTAAGATAAGCCCCGGGAGGCTTTCTTTGACAGCTGTTTACAGATTTTCGGTATTGTCCTCTTGTACCGGTTCACAAGAGCCAATACAAAAGACCAAACAATACACAATAGGTATGATGCACGATCCTCGCAGTAGATAGCGCTTTTTAAGCAATAGCGAAAATCAGACCTGAAAAAAATAAAAATAGAGCGCTGCATTAGTATCGCAGAGGTCAGTGGTTCGAATCCCGTACAGGCCTGATTTTTTTCAGGTCTGATTTTCGCTATTGCTTAAAAAGCGCTATCTACTGCGAGGATCGTGCATCATACCTATTGTGTATTGTTTGGTCTTTTGTATTGGCTCTTGTGAACCGGTACAAGAGGACAATACCGAAAATCTGTAAACAGCTGTCAAAGAAAGCCTCCCGGGGCTTATCTTAAAAATCCTACACACGACTTCTGGCTATATCATATTATTTTCCTTTAAGTTTCAAAGTCTTCTTCCACTTCAGGTAGATTATCCTTCACTTGAGAGTTTTTTTTTTTCGCCATCGCAAGATTTCATATCGTTTGAATATTTCTTTTAGATGTGAAGTGAAGCAACCTTTACTTCTCCGAAAATCGTCTTCTTTATCTTAGTTTCTATCTCCTGCATTCACAGTGGCCGCTCAACACATTAAATACACGTTCTTAGGTGAACTTCTCGCGAAAGTAGAAAAAATCCACACGCCGCCATCTTTGTTTTGAATTTTCACCTTTTGATCTCGCGCTTCTTTTGCACGTTTCTCTCGCGCGTGACACAAGAGTTCTCTGTTCCCCGCGCGAGGAAACTAGCACGAGCCGCCTTAAAGCAAAAACCAAAATGTGGTTGCATGACCAAAACTTCGCAAAAATCTGACTAGACGGCCCCCTTAAAATTTCTTTGCTTCTTCACCATTTAAAACAAATAGATTCCATGCAGCTGTAGGTCTTTCCAGAAATATTTCATAGAAGACGTCAAAATGTGCTAAGGATATCAGTGGCTGCGCCTCAAGATTCTTTGTTCTCACCACAATTTTGGCCGGTCACGCCGTGATCTTAAATATTTATTCCAGCACTAATGTATGCATTCCTGTGGTTAATCCTACTCGTTTATTGCTTGATTACATTTTAGCATATTCCCGGGAACGTCGCTCAATTAATTCAATAAATCTCGGCTAGAAACTTCGCCTCAGTGGCTCGTAAAGGCTGGTATTTCGATAATTGACTCTAAAGACTAACTTGGGATCACTAGGACTAAAAGGTACCAAACCCCGCTGGTAAAAGGTGAGAGAGATTCTATGCTTGTTATTTTCCTACAAAATCTGGGGTAAGGTCCATTGTAAAATCGTCAGCACGTAATGGTGTCGACGCATTACAAAATTAGCCATAAATCGCCAGGAAATAACTCATTTAAGTCTTATTAGTTGTATTTATGTATGTAGAGCCTGTCTTCATACTTGTCTACGTACTAAATAAGCAACTTACGACGTCTGAAATTATACCTGTCAGGGTAGATGTAAGTTTTGGTAGGAATTACCCCGAAATATGTGGCGTATCAGATAACGGCGAATTATGCGATTACCTTGGTCTGTATATTGTGAGATTTAACGCCACTAACTCGGTCTGTATGTATACTGTACGATTTAACGTCGTTAGTTAACGGCGTAAAATCTTCCAATACATATAATAGACATAACTAAATTACGCCATTAGTTAACGGCGTAAAATCTCTCAATATATATATAACAGACTGAACGAAATTACGCTGTTAGTTAACGGCGTAAAATCTCTCAATATATAAACACCGACCGAGCGAAATTACGCCGTTAGTTAACGGCGTAAAATCTCTCAATATGTATAACAGACTGAACGAAATTACGCCGTTAGTTAATGGCATAAAATCTCTTAATATATAGAACAGACTGAATGAAATTATGCCGTTAGTTAACGGCATAAAATCTCTCAATATGTATAACAGACTGAACGAAATTACGCCGTTAGTTAACGGCGTAAAATCTCTCAATATATAAACACCGACCGAACAAAATTACGCGGTTAGTTAACGGCGTAAAATCTCTCAATATGTATAACAGACTGAACGAAATTACGCCGTTAGTTAATGGCATAAAATCTCTTAATATATAGAACAGACTGAATGAAATTATGCCGTTAGTTAACGGCATAAAATCTCTCAATATATAGAACAGACTGAATGAAATTATGCCGTTAGTTAACGGCGTAAAATCTCTCAATATATAGAACAGACTGAGCGAAATTATGCCGTTAGTTAACAAGAGCTTACGCCCATGTCCCGCCATCTTGTCCACCCTTCCTGCGAAACCTGCTCAAGGACCATCACTTCTAATCACCGCTCCTTACGTTGCGCTTCGTGTTCCAATTGTTATCATGTGAATTGTGCTGCTGTGAGACCCTCAGAATACGCTCAACTCAGCAGCAAACGGTAGACTTGCTCTGTGTGTTGTTCAAGAGAGTTAATGAAAGAACTACCTTTCTCTGGTGTAGATGATAGTTTCGAAGCTTCAGTTGACTTAGAACAGGATGCAGAAGAAACGACTAACTGTGACGATGGCCTCTCTGATTTTGTAAATCAGTTGGAATACGGCACTTCCAATAGAGACTTCAGATTAGCGCACCTGAATGTGTGTGGTCTAAGGAACAAGATCGAGGAACTCAGATGCCTCCAACAACTGTGTAAATTTGAAATTCTCGCAATCACCGAGACACATCTTGACAAAAAGGTGCCAGATTCCGAAATATTAATCCCAGGAATGAAGTTTGTAAGATTAGATAGGAAGGGTCGAAAAGGAGGAGGATGCTTATTATATTATGGAGAGCATTTGCATGCTACTCATTGTAAAGATCTTCTCACACAAAACATCGAAGCAGAGTGGCTGCAAGTCAAATTCCCAAGTTCTTCAGTGTTGTTTTCAGTAATCTACAGACCGCCAGACGCTAGTGAATTCTTTGATCTTGTCAGTGCCACCTTAGAAAAAGCTTGGCTGAAATCGTCTAACATTGTGCTACTAGGGTACTTCAACTGCGACTTTAAGACGGAATCTGAGCAGTCCGCTAACGCCAGAAAACTACGCTCCATTTTCGAAACGTTTAATATGCAAAATGTGGTAAATGCAAACACTAGAGAAACACCAACAACAAGTACCTTGTTAGATCTAATTGTTACAACAAGGACTGATCTTATGGGCAAGTGTGGTGTTTTCCCTTTGGGAATTTCAGACCACAATATGGTATACGCAACGATTAAGTTAAAGAACAAAAGGCCACCACCGAAGTACATCAAAACAAGAGATTATAGGAAACTTGACATAAAAAAATTTCAGGCGGACGTTGAATCCGCGCCTTTCCATTTTGCGTCAGTCTTCGAAGAGCCAGATGATATCTTATGGGCATGGCAAACCTTGTTTAAAGGAATTTGTGACGAACACGTCGCCCAGAAAGAAGTTAAGATCAGAAGTAAATCAGCTCCTTGGATAACTAACGAAATCCGCTACAAGATCAATAAAAGATACAAGATTTTCAAAGCAGCAGTCAGCACAAAATGTCCTGAATTATGGTCAAAATACAAGAAAGCTAGAAATGCAGTCACGTCAGCTTTGCGAAGAGCTAAAGCATCTTATTTCACCAATATGTTCGAAGAAGTAAAGAAATCTAGTGCCTACTGGAACTTAATTAACATAGCTACAAATCGCTCAGCACGCAACAGAACAATAGGCCCCCTTAATAGAACCGACGGCAGCTTTGCTTTAAAGGATAAGGAAAAAGCACAAATGATGAATGCATACTTTTCGGAGATCGGCGAGAACTTAATTAAATCACTGCCAGTGCCACCGCAGCCCGCTTCAGTGGATGCCAGCACGTCACCTTATATATTGTCACCTAAATTTTCAGCATCGGAGAGTCTGCAGACGCAGCGATTGCTTCCTTGAACTGTGCTTTGCAAGAGGTCTACAGGTGGTGCCTAGAGAATCGCTTAACACCTCACCCGGCTAAGAGCGAAGTCATGATAATTAGTACACCAACCATTATAGGACCGCTACCTCCATTATTTTTGGGTAAATCTGTTTTAGGCTATGTCAAAAAATCGCGTCTTCTTGGAATGATTGTAGATGACAAGCTTACCTGGATACCGCATATGCTAGAACTAAAGAAAAACTTTGCGAACAAAATAGACTTATTGAAGCGCTCAAGGTTCTTGCCCAAAAATGTCCTTTTAAAGTTTTATTTTAGTGTAATATTACCTTCTGTGAAGTATGGTATAATATTATGGGGTTCGTGTACAAATTCGGATCTTCTGTACTCAATTGAGAAACTTCACTGTAGAGCAGCAAAAATTGTCTACAACTTTAGGTTTCATACGGCATCTAATGTAGCTCTCAACGTTTCAGGATGGGATACGATCAATTTAGAATACAAATTTCAAATAGTTAACCTTTTTTATAGAGCAAGTAAAGTCTCACTACCTCAGTCTCTAATTAATAGCATATTCATAAGGCGGGAATGTAGCTATTCACTAAGAGACCAAGAAGCAATAACCACACCTAGATTCAACACTAGATTGTTAAAGGACTCTTTAACATATAGAAGTTCGGTGCTATGGAACTATGTTAACCATCGTGTCAAAAATGTAGGTAGTTTCGCCCTTAAGAATCTCAGGAGGCTACTCAGGAGAAACAATCACTTCACAAGCTTTACTTTTACTAGTTTATCAGGTTCGACGGCTAGGAATAGATTAACTGATTACAAGTACTTTTAAGTTCAGAGGAAATTGAATGTTTTATTGTATTATAGTTTCTTATTAGTTTGAAATGTCTTAGTATAATCATAAGTTGGCTAGATACTATTTTGTTAAGTACACGACCCCACAAGCTTTTTAGCTTTAATTCTTATCGTGTATAAATAAAGATTCTACTATTACTAATAATAATAATTACATACCCACTCAAGCTACTTGAGCATAAGTAATAGACCTTTTTAGCTGTTTGGTCACGTGGTTCGAAATGGATAAACAAGAATTCAAAATGGCCGCAGATGACATCTTTTAGACGTCATCCCTTCTTCTCTTGTCCAAACTGTTATTTTCACAGACAAATCAGTACTCAAAAGACTGCGGTAATGTAGAAATCGGCGCCAATCAAAAATGGAGGCGGTAATTGGGATTTTAAAAAAAACCTTAAGCTAAGACAATAAACTTGTGAGCACACGATCTTTATAGATCGAAAAAATAAATAAAAAAGGCATAAAAAGGAAGCAAAAGTTTTGCCAAAAAAAAAAAAAAAACTTTCGGTTTTTAACTTTTCCCCGCTAATTTTCCCGACTCAAAATGATTTTCCCTGACTTTTTGTAGGCCTTGAAGTAATTCATTTGAGCGTGAATTTTCCTGACCTGTGAGAACCATGCTTAACATTATCATGCTAGAAAAGAACCACTATTTCTTTTCAAAATAGCTTCTTGTTGACTTTAAGAATAATGAGGGACAGACGCCATCTTTCAATCTCCTATTTCTGCTGTTTGCACACTTAAAATCCTCGACTTCTTCGAAATGTTCAGAGCATGGATATAAACAAAAAAATAACAAAAGAAGGACTAAAGAACTTAAACATTTCTTTCTCGGGGTCAATACCCTTAAGCCTCTAAATAAACGAGAAGCTTTTGGTGGCTTTCTTGGTGGCTCTGGGAAATGCAAACGTGTGAAGATCTTCTTTAGGTGTTCACATTTTTGATGAAAAAATTGCCAGTTTGAAGAAAGTTTAAAGGCACGGTTCAGCATTGTTTTTAGCAGATCGAACGAAATTAAGCCGTTAGTTAGAGCCCCTCATACAAAACACCATCAGGTCTTTTGTTTAAAATGAAGGTGATGGAGAGCACGCGTCCCCCGCAACAAGCAGGTGAAATTTCCGTTAGGATACCCCTGCCCTTCAAGGATCAGAGATCAGCAAACAAACTACGCGAACAACTTAGTGATCTTAGCCGGAAGATAAATACCGAAGTATATCCTGTCTTTACAAGCCGCAACATCAAAGATGAACTCAAAGCTAAGGAACTTAAACCTCCAATTGTCAACCAGCAAAACGTTGTATATCTCTTCAGGTGTGATCTGTGCGATACAGATTATGTCGGCTTTACAAGCCGACACCTACATCAACGTGTGGAGGAGCATAAACGATCGGTAATCGGTAACCATGTAAGAGAACATGGAACCGAACCATGTGAAATCGCAAAGAACTTTAGGGTCCTGAGGAAGTGCTCAAACAAGTTCGATTGTTTGACTCTCGAAATGTCTTTTATTCGGGACCTTAAGCCAAAATTGAACAAACAGAGCGATTCTATTCGCGCAAAGCTGTTTACTTAACACTTCATATAAATTAATTTTCATCCTTTTCACCGCTTATTTACACTTCATTTTTGCACTTTGTTATTAGTTATTAGCTCTATTGTTTATATGTAAATACTTAGCTTTTACCTTCATTCCATTGTTTCAGAAATCGTATATATGCGGAAATTTACTCATGAACTCTAACTTGAAAATGACCGTGGAGCGGTCTAAACGTCGTTCATATTTTTTATCGCTCGTTTTTATCACTAAATGCTTTAGTAAGAGCTTAGATTTAATTTTGATTCAACATCCTGTTTTGATCTTGATTAACGGTACAAGCCGGGTTTTATTTGATTAAAACTAGTCCTCAATATCAGTAATTCAATAATTAAGCTAAAAGTCATTTTAAATCTTTGCTCTTTTAGTCTACTATACTGATAATGTCGGTAAGTCGTGTTTTTCGCCCTCACCAAAGAAGCCAAATGTACGCCAGAGCAGTTCTTATGGTTCATGGGATTCGCTTTGCTTCAATAACCAAGGACAAAGCCAACACAGATATCTTTGAACCACTACCAAGAGAGGAATTAGTTACTAAATTCAAGTCGAAATTACGTGACAGAGAGTTCACACCAGGTTCCACACAAGGCGGTTTCCCAGAGTTCCTAGCGGAACCAAGAGATTCCTTTCCACTTGGTGTACGCGTCCACAATCGTTACCAGGCCTCCCTCGCTGAACTGACTTCTAAATGTATGGAATTCATTGAAGAAAATCATCCACAATGTCCAGCTATTTTGTTTCGTGGCCTTCCAGCCCGAACAGCCGATGACTTCTCGACTATTGCTGGTAAAATTTCAGGGGAGCCTTTTTCGTATGAAGTCGGTGGCAGTACCTATCGCCAACAAGTTGACAAAAGTGCGAAGACTTATACCTCCAGCGATGAACCACCAGAAAGTACTATGGACCCGCACAATGAGATGTCTTATCTCAATACTTGGCCCAAAAAGGTACATTGTCCTAAGATGTAAATTGTTTTCGTAGTAGTTGTTTTTTGTTGTTGTTGTTTTCGTTGCCATGTTGCATGACAAGACTGAAGCAAAGCGTCATAGTAGGCTACCCTCGCCCATGCATCCCTGACCGTGCGCAAACATTGCAACAAGATGAACAGGATAAAGCCCTGTTCCGAAATATTTGTGTAGGGCCTTTATCCTATCCGAAAATCAGCACTTATTGAATGAGGTTGAGCATGATATCATGAATTATCAATGCCGCGGTCTGAGTTATCCGCTGAAGTCGAACACAGACGCGAAGTTTGATAATTCATGATATCATGCGAAAACTAAATTCAATAATTTTTTTTATTTTACATTTTTTAAACAAGCTGCAAAAGACAAACTTTCTCTGTGAGTTTGCAAAAGTTTGAGAACACTTCACGGACGAGGGGCTTGGAAACTTGGCAGACTTAAACTCGACGCGATAAACAAATCTGCTGCAAATATTAAGTTATCATGTCAACTTCACACGCTTGTGTATTTTGACTGTTTGCTCTCGACCAATCAGATTTTTCATTGTAAGTTTAAAGTAGGATAATTTTATCTTTCTTCAGATTTTCTTTTACTGCATAAAGGAGGCGGACGATAACTGTGGTGGCGAAACACCGTTGGTCAAGAACAGCGAGCTTCTCTCCAAATTGGATCCCGAAGTCGTGGCGAAGTGTGATGAAAAAGGTGTGCGATACGTACGATATCTACCCGACAAAGCCCACGATGAGTACATGAATTGGCAACATATGTTTGGCACTGAAGATAAACAGGTACGAGTTATTTTGGTTACTTATTTTTCTTGTTTAAAGGGATACCTACCTGTGTGATACTTTGTAATTATATTCAGCAAGACGTGCTCGAAAAAGGTTTCTTCTCTCGTAGGCTGAATGAGTTGTCAAGAATTACTTCCCGATCTATGATCCACCAGGACTACTCCTGGCATATATCCACATTTAATTATCAGATCCCGAATTAAGTAAGATCGCTAGTCTATTTCGATCTGTCCGTCCATTACTCCAAGACTAGAGCACGCTGAGGGCAAAAATAGAGCTAGCCGTGTTATTGTTTTGCAAAGAGAATTTATCCCAAAAGGAGAGCAAAATTCCTTTCAAACCCTATTTTAGCTTGTAAACAGGTTCCCACCGGCACTGCGATAGGAGCGGCGAAACAAGTTTCAAACAGGCAAGCGGTGCGAAATTACAGGGCTATTCTCCCTGTTTTATGATGGACCTATCTTCTTCGTCCCTTGTAATACTGAAACGCCACAAGTATTTTACCAATATATAATCATTTTGACCTTGCGCTTTGATAAATGACGTAATTTTTTAGGAAGCAGAGAGGGTGGCTAAAGACAAAGGGTATCACGTGAGCTGGAATGAAACACAGGATTTATGTCTTTGGCAAAACAGACCTGCGTCGATACAGCATCCGCTGGCCAGAAATAAAATTTGGTTCAATCAGATTGCCGCCATGCACAGCTCATATTACCATGCATTGCCCACCTTTATTGGCAAAGGTATCCCAGATGAGAAATGCCCCTCCCACACATATTATGGAGACGGAAGTCCGATTGAACCGGAAGTAGTACAGCACATACGAGTAACAACCTGGTCATGCGCAGTTGGTTTTCAGTGGCGAACGGGAGACTTACTGGCATTGGATAACTTAACCGTTCAGCATGGTCGCATTGGTTACAGTGGCGAGAGAAAAGTACTTACTTACCTCACTGGCTGAAGGGAAAATTATCAGACATTTGCATATGCATGTTGGCTGAGTTCTCAATTCCTAATCTTTGGAATATATTCAAATATACCTGAATCTGACTGACTTCTAGACAATGGCACTATTGTTTGTTATCCACTGGGACCTTTTCATTGGATGGTTTAGATCGCGCTCGTCAAGTGTTGAGTTCAGGCGATAATTTTTTCGGTGGAGAAACTTTAGACTAAAGGTGTTATCCTAAGGCATTAATTTAACTCTAGAGATTTTAAGACAAAAATTGGGTAAGGTGAAGGGGAGAAGTGATTGATTGCCAATAAATAAAGGGTCTCGCTGACTTCAAAGTTTAGTTGGTTACGACCAATTTTCTTTATTGTCTACGCTTCATGCTAGAAACTGATTTTTCTCCTTCCTTTCCTTTTTTCTGAGTCAAGCTACTCACAGGTACGTCATCATCCGGCCTGCGTGTAGTTTGCAAATCCTTCCTTTTTTCTGAGTCAAGCTACTTCCAGGTACGTTAACATCCTGCGTGTAGTTTGTGTTTCCTCTTTTTAGGGGTTTCTAAACCTATTGTGAGTGGTTTAAAACAAATTTACAGAAGTGGAAACCGTTCGATTTTACAAGACAGATTTCCAGAGTTCTCATCTCATCTTAATCTGCCCTACAGACGCAATATTGTCTTCGCTCTAGAGCTCTGCCGAAAGTTGGAACGGAAACAAAAATAATTACCCTCTTTGAAATTTTCTCTTTGAAGTGATGAGATGACTGAGCTGCTTCATAAAAATTTTTTTTGGGAACCTATTTCAGACATTATTTCGTAAGTAACAGTTAATTTCATTTTGTAATCTTTTTATAACCAAACCACTCAGTGCACCTTTATGCAAATGAAGTCCAATTAAAGAAGAAGATGGTAAGAAATTAGTTGGGCCATAACTGATCTGACGTGAATTGAGAGAGAACTCCAAATTGATCATTGCGAGAATAGAAGGACCGGAGGGTTCAGTAAGACCCATGTAGAATCCAAGTTACCGGGGCGGATCCAGGGGTGGTTCGGTCGAAACCCCTAAATTTTGACGCAGAACGCTCGAAATCATGTTTCCGAAGACCTAATTTTAAAAATCTCGGATCCCTCCGGAGGGGGAGAATTCTCCGAACCCCTCTTGACTAAATCCTGGATCCGCCCCAGAGTTAGGGCCCCAGGATTGCATTTAGAAGGTTGCTACTTCACTTCACCCATTATGTACTGGCTCCTTTCCTACTACAGAACAAAGACGAACAACTTTTAAAATATTTCACTATATTTACACTTAATTCCAAAGCGCGAATGCATGGATAGTACTTTCATTTTGACAGAAAGGCAAATATACTCCCTCTTGAATGAATTTCGCGATTGTATCAATTGTATGCAAAATTTTCAATAATGAACAGAAATACTAAAGGTAAGTTCTCCTGAAAAACGTTAACCATCGCAGAGCAGGATCGAAACTGTATTAGTAGATCCGAGTGCTGCGATAGTACTGGCGCGGTTGAAATGTCTATCTCTTCTTGTTTCAAAACGTTTCTCAAAGCTAGGGGTATTCGCCCTGCAATGAAAAGTAGGAAAATTTTTCATCATTAACATAAATCGGCCATTAAAAGATGACATGTAAAACTTTGAGCAAAGTATGGAAATATCTTAAAAGATAATCGCATTATCTGACAATAGCTAATACGTCAGTGATAAAACATGTAATGCGTTAGGATCCAAGACCTCTTTTAAAGATTTTGATCAGATTTGCTTTTTTCATCTGAACCTTGTTATAAAAAAGCCGAGGAGTGTCCGAACTTTATTTGATTACACCAACAACCTCTTCGCCCTTCCCCTCCACCTCTTCAATAGCAGCCTTATTGCGCAGGCTCAATTGCGAGTTAGCAACAGTGAAAAGTAAGGAAAAGAAAAAATTGAAAAAGTTGTAACGAGTGTTGCAACTTTACCATGAGCTTTACTATAACATTTCAGAAACAACAAAATATCACTGACCATTTGCTTTTAATGTCTCCCTGACTACTGGCTGCCACATTGTTCTTATCTTCCAAAAATGTTGTCTCGTACGCAGCCTTTCCTCTCCTGGTTTCCAGGGTGCTAGAGGTGCTTTCCTATACATGATATAAACAAAACTGAATTGCATGTTTGAAAAATGTGCATGCCAAAATTTCCGCCCTTTCCTTCCAAACACTGAATAAACTAAAAATTGTGGAAGTTTTATGGTATAGCGTCACGCGCTTTCGGGTCGTCCTCGCTCGCTCTTGCGTCTCCCGCATAGCAAAGAAGTAATCTCACCTCACATGATGACTTAGAAGAATTTTTTTCGAGCCCATTGTGCAATAACTCAATCCTGAACTGCCTTTGATTCTCCTTTGTCAGCTTGGCCATCTCACGTCCTGCGGAGCCAATCGTCAACTGAAGCGAACTCAACTTTTCATTGTCCGCGTGCTGTGTCTCCTTTAACAGGTCAAGTTCTCCTGATACTTTTCCTTTAAAGGAAGCTAAGTTTTCTTCTTGTTCTACCTTTTCATCTTCAAGTATGGAGATCCGAGCTGCAGCCTCCCGAAGGTCCATCTTCACATCCCAATATTGTTTACTTCTGGCATTAAATTCTTTCAAACCCATGTTCACCTCTACCTGTAAAGCGTTCTGTTTTCTTTCAACGAAGAACCTCTCATTTTCCAGGCGCGATCTAGCAGCTAACACTGCTCTGTGCAGGTTTGACTTCTCGTTCCTGCTACATTCAAGTTGAGTTGTCAAGCGTTTCAATTTGTCTTGGATCCCTTCCGCGTCTCTGGTCTTTCTCATTGCACAAGTCTTAAGGTTAGCACATTGTTTATTTTGCTTCTCGATAATGGATGCAGCAATATCTAGCTCTTTTTTCACTTCTCTAAGGGTGGTCTCGATGCGAGTCATCTCTAAGCCTTTTTCCTTATTTGCTTCAGTCAATTCGTCAATCTCTTTGTTCCTTAGAGATAATTTGGCCTCCATAGTTGTGAGAAGTGAGCATTTCAATTGCAGGGTCTCATCTGCGTCAACTAAGTAGGTTTCCCTTTCTCTTAAACACTTTTGCGTCTTTTGAAGATCTTCCTCTAGTTGTTTGATAGTTATTTCGAGCATTCTTACTTTTTCATCCTTGTCTCCTAGACGCTGTTTGAGGTTAACATTTTCGCATTGAATATGTTCAAGCTGGCGTCGTATGGACGAGCATTCGTTAGCACTGTCTTGAAAACGACTCTTTAAGTCTTCCATAAATTCTTCTTTCTCATTCAGATCTTCCCTCAATTTTTCCAACACTCTCTTTATATGGGCCTCCTTTTTCTTCATTACCAGGCTCGATGCGTACGCTTCTCTTTGTCTTTGTACCAAGTTACTCAGCCTTTTTCCCATCTGTGCCATTAACAAACTCTGCTGTTGTGTATTTCTGTTAGTCTCTGTTTTAATGAGCTTCAGGCAGTTATGTTCTATTCCCATTGTGAACAGCAAACTTCTATCATCAAAATTTCTATAAGCCAAGAGCTCTCCGGCGATTTCTACCTCCTTTCTAAGCTTTGTCAAGTTAGTGTTGAGGTTTTCAATCTTTTCCTTGTAATCAAAAACTAACTCCTTCAGTTTGTCCGCTTCATTATCTTTCTCATCCAGTAGCTCCCTCTGCTGCTGAGCTTTTGATTCAGCTTTTTCTACTGCATTTCTAAGACTTTGTTTCTCAGACCTTTCCCTTTGGAGCTCTTTCGTTAATTCCTTAACTTTATTAACTTTTCTCTCAATTCCATGGTGCATTTTATCCAATTTCTGCTCTTTAGCTTTAAGACATGCTTGTGCCCTGTCTTGCCTTTCATTCATTGTTCGTAGCTTCTTTTCTGTTTTCGCCAATTGTTCTTTCTCCTCTTTAGCAGTACCCTCTCTAGCTTCGAATTTCGTCTTGAAATACTCTTTGTCCGACTTTTCTCGTGCTATTTCTAGAATTAACCTTTTGATCTTATCATGAGCCTCCTCTAATGACCATTCTTTTTCCTGTATAGACCTTAAAGTCTTCTCCCGTTGATCACCCATCTCTTGTAATTGCTTCTCGAGTTTTCCAATTTTCCGAGTCAATCTGTTTATTTCATCAGTATTATACTCTGACGCCTCTAAGGCCCTTCTCAGATTCTCTTTCTCTGACTTTTCCCGTTTCAACAATTCAGTTAACATATTGTTAGCGTCATTAGCCTCCTGTAGTGACCTCTTGTTGTTTTTTAGAGAAGTAAGAGTGGCGTTTGTCAGCTTATCTTTCTCGCGTAACTGATTCTCTAGCTGCTCAAGTGTCTTCTTAAGCTCTTTCTCTTCGTGAGAACTACGCTCTTTAGCTTCCATAGCCCTTTTCAAACGCTCTTTTTCTGACCTTTCTTGTCTCAGTTCACGTACCAAAGAGTCAACTGGATGAAACGTGTTTCTGTTTATGTCTTCCATTCTTTGTATGTGAGTCTCAAGATTTCCCAAATTTTCAAACTGTACTTCGAGGCAGTCCTTGCCACACCTTTCCTGCGTTATCTCTTCGGGTAAATTTTTGATCGTTTCATCTTGCTCCTTGAGACAGCAGTAAGCTTCTTGCACTTCTTTTTCTTTGCACTTCATTGAAGTCCCCCCTGCCTCAGTTAGATTTTTTAGCTGATTCTTAAGCTCCTCAGGTCCCTCTTTCTGCCACCTCAAAGTTCCTTTAGTCTGGTCTATGTCCTGCTCTCTCTGTTTTTGTCGTTGGCTTGTCATCGTGAGAATCTCTTCCTTTTCTCCCATGTAGCGTTCCAAAATGTCTGTCCTCTCTGTCTTCAATCTCAAAGCACTGCTTGCATGTTCCAAATCACTTTCTGTCTGTTGCAAAGTTTGTCGTAGATCTCTGATGGTTTCTTCCATTTCTTGCACTTTATACTTTTGACCTTCGTCCAGTGTGACTTCTCGATTAGGATCCAAAGTATCCTTTCCATTAACCTCTTCATCACCTACACTTATTACATCTCCTTCGAAATCGCTCGGTAGCCTTTCTTCGAAGTCCAGACCCCTTTGTCTATGGAATTTTCTTGAGATACTAAGTTCTTTTTCAGATCGATGGACACGTTTCTTTAAAACTTTGATTTGAGGGCTTTTCCTGTTCTGGCTTCCACTTAAACGCTCTTCATCTTGAGCGAGTTCACAGTTATCATTAAGCACACTTTCCAAATCGTTCGCCGACCTATTTTTCGCTTTCGCTAGCTCTTCTTTAAGAACAGTATTGTTACAATTTAAGACCACTACTTGTTCTCTCAGTTCTGTGAACTTGTCCTTTATTTTGGACTGCTTAGATAG